TTTCCCTTTTCCTGTGTAGCCTCCACGGGATAACACAACTGTGACACCTTTCATCCATGTGCTCTAAGCAAGTTGTCAAGGTCTTTGACAAAACTAGCCTGATCCTTGTAAATTCAGACACAGCTCCACTTCATGCTGAATGCCCTCCATAGGTTTCCAGTGGACATGAATGAGCATTAAGTTCTTTGAGCAAAATTCCCTAACATAAAATACAAGTTATCCCTTGAACCCAGGATAATGGCAGACATTTTCCATCCAAAAAAGGGTTAAGAAGTGGCCTTTTTGCAGGGCTAAAACTTGAAAGCTGCATCCCAAATGATTCGGAAAACAAATGCTGAGAAGTGAGAAAAGGAGAGAGAAGAAAAAAAGTACAGGGAAAGGAAACAAATACATGAGTGGTGTTAAAGAAATTTTAAGAGAATCACAGAAACTTAGAAAGGAAAGGAACTTTCCAACTTATCCAAGGAGGCATGTAGTAACCCTCAACTTGAATAGTTCTGGTGAGAAACCACTGCATTTCGAGGCAAACAGTCCAAAGTTGGACAATTCCAGTTTTCAGAAAAGTCTTTTTGTCATTGAGCCAAAATGTCCTTTCCTGAACTCTCATCCATTGGTCCTCTGGAGTGACATAAAACAAATCTGCCTCTGGACACTTGACAGTGTCTGCTCTGTGTCTATTTGCTCTTCTTGTCTTCAGATCCCTCTGAAGCTGAGGAGTCTAGTGGAATAGGCTTTAGGTCAAGCAGATGGGGGTTTGAATCCAAGCTCCGTTGTGCCACTGCAGCAGTTTCCTTAGCTTGGCTGAACCTTAGTTCACATGTGAGGATCCTACAAGGAAACGTGCAAAGTAACTAGGCCACACCCAGCTTCGAGGGACACATGACTTCTCTCTTCCAAGTTCCTTCCACAGTTCCAGACTCTTCACTTTCTTAGAATCAAAGAAAATTGGGGTGATGGGGCTCTAAGAGACTGTTTAACCCAATTCTCTTGCTTTATAGGTATAGAAACTGAGGGCCAGAGAAGTTGACATGGCCAGTCACCTAGTTCATGCCCAATCGATATTTTTTAATAAATGAATGAATAGGTGATTTTTATCTATTCATTTCAATAAGTAGTCTAAGGCAGCTGGAACTGCAGGGGGGAGGTTCATTTAATAGCAGTGGAGATGCTAGTATAAAATATTGCTAATCTCAGTGTGATCCTTAACATTTAAAGTCCTTTTACTTGTCTTTATGTTGACCATTTATCATTTTGATTTTAATTCTGTACCAGTGTGCTCAAGCCCAATTTATACCACACACTCATCACTCACAACAAAGAGCCTCGCTTCTCACTTCACCAAGTACCCAGAAAGGAACAGACAAGAGTCATTACCTCGAGTTCCAATCCTACTCCTAAAAGATACATGTATGTCCTTCCTTCTAGTCTCTGAGATCCAAGTATCACTCCTATTTAAGGTTAGCTTCTCCATGTTAGCTTCATTTAGCCCATTGTCACAATATTTTCCAGGTCTTTATTTTTCTTTCGTATTTTCCTCTACCTTCTTCCTAGTTTCTTCCCACAGCCTACAAGCATAAACTAACCTCTTTTGCCACTTATTCCAAAAAACTAAGACAATAGATCTTCTGATCATGTCTCCCTCCATATACTACCCTATTTCTTTAATGATTTCTCACTCAAATATATTGAAAGAGTTGCTGTCTCCATATCCTTGCTTCTCATTCCTTAGTTCACTAACAAATGGCCTTGATTTCTACTTGCTTACAGTCACCAAGGCCACTAACTGATGCCCTGTAGGACAAATCCAATGAGCACTTTCTAGTCTTCAGTCTGCTGAATGGAGAGGTTTCATGCGATGCAGGCTTCTTGTCCTTGAAATTCTCTCCCCCATTGGTTTCTGGTTCTCTGTTCATCTACCGATCTTATCCATCCCATTGAGCATTGGTTCTGTTTTTGGCTGACTTCCTTCCTTATCACTGACACATTCTCTGGACAACATTACCCAGATCAATATGTTGATGACCCCAAATTTCTCTCTAATGTAGACTCACTTACCAATTGCCTCTAGGAAAGCTATTTCAAATTCATTCTTTCTAGAGTTGAATTCGATAGAAGGGAGGCAGTGTAATGTCAGAGCACTTGAAGAGTTCATGTAAAAATAGAATCAAATTATGAGTTTATTTTGGTACAAAAAATATTTCTAGGGACCAGCGGATGGTGTAATGGTTACATCGCTGGATTCCCACATAGTTGACTGTGATTTGAGTCCCAACCCGGGAGCTTAAAACTCATGCCAGGCACATGTGCATGTGTGCCCAAAATACCAAGAGGAGAATGGAGGAGAAGGGATTGTGGTATGGCCATCCCCCCCAGTGGGTGATTTCTCGCTTTCTGTCTCTGTCTCTCTGGCAAGTCCTCAGGCCCTATAGCAAAAAATCTCTCTCTAAAACAAATGTGTGTGTATATATACATATATATATATATATGTAAATACATATATGTAAGTAAATATATATATGTATTTTTAAATTCATGCATAGCTTTTTTTAATAATATGTATTTTCCATAAACATTGTGAAGACCCTCTCATACAATGGTTAAGAACTCAAGTGCTAAAATCAAAATGCTTGGCCCTAAGCCCCAGGTGCACTAGTTTTCCTCTGTAGTAACCTGGGGAAATCTTAAAGGCATCAATTTCTTTGGTGGAAAACAGGACTAATAATATCAATAGTACCAATCTCTTTTTTAAGTTGTTCCAAGCTTAATGAGATCATATATGCAAATCAGTTACAATAGTGCATGACACATGGTAAGAGCTCAGTAAGGCTGACCACAGTTATATGTTACATTCATTACGATCGTTACTGTTATCATTTAGGATAAGGAGTCCTAGGCCCTGATGAGGTTTCAAGAGATTCACATTCAGTTCATCAGGTATTGGCTTAGGATCTTACCAAATATCCAACACCATGCTAGAGATTTACAAAGATGCATCAGATACTTGGTAATAAATGGAAATTTTACCTTGGAGGCAATGGGAATTATTGGAGGATTTATTGTACACAAGTGTCAGTATCTGATTTATATGGTAGAACAGTAATTTTGGGAGCACATCAAGAATGAATCAGAGCAAAGAATGATGCTAGGCAAGAACACCAGCTAGGAAACAATCGCAATGGTCAGACAATTGAGGCCAAGGTCCTATGCTAAGAGATGGGGGAGGAGGGTGTGACGGGTTTGAGAAATGTCTTGGGAATGGGAACTATATGGTTTAAAACTATTTCAGGAGTGGGAAATTGTTACATTATGAAGCAATAGGTTGATAACTATCATGGATGAACCAATTGGCTACCTAGAGAGTGCCCTACAGGGTGACTTTGCATTGCTGAGCATGACAGTCTATCTTGCTAGTCCTCAGCTGAATGTTAGTCTCCCAGAGTGTCAGTTCTACATTGACAAAAATCCTGCACATTGACATGTAGAAGCCATACCAAGAAACATTTGACAGACTAAAGAATGCAAACTTCTCTGTTGAAAAAAAAAGTTCTGTAATTTTTGCTTTATAAAAATTAAAATAAAAAAAATGAGTAGGTTCAAGATTTGGCCTCAAAAAGCCAGCTTGTTGAAATTAAGCTGTCTTGGGACCAGCAGTTGGCATAATGGCTATGTCGCTGGATTCCCATGTAGTCGACCTTGGTTCGAATCCCAGACCTGGTGGCTTAGACTCACGCTGGGCACGTGTTTGTACATGCTCAAGATCCCGTGAGAAGAGTGGAGAAGGGATTGCGGTGTGGCCATCCCCCTGGGGGGTGATTTCTCACCTTCTGTCTCTCTTTCTTTCTGGCAGGTGCTTACACCGTTTAGTAAACACCACTCCAAAAAAAAAAAAAAAAAAAAAGAATTTAAACTGTCTTAATATAGCTATGTGTATAAATATTTTTATGCATTTATGTATAATACTTTCTCTCTTGCATTGGAGCTTTATTTTACATTTTAAAAAGTCATGCCAGTTTATTCATTAATAATGAGAAATACAGCTGCCTAGTAGAATAGAAATTTTTGTCTCCAGTAAGTATGTTCTTTCCTTATATTAAAGAATATTTGTTGGGGCACTAAACAGAAATTAATGTTATGGTGATCCCACTTTCAGATCAAAGGAAGTTGGTTGTATAATGTTAATGGCTGGTATATAATAAACAAATGGATAAATGAAATGCTATACGTACACACACACACATTTATGTGCACCTACACACACGTGCATGCACACACACTAGAATACTATTCAGCCATTAAAAAGGGTGGCTCCTAATATTGAAGGTTAAATGGACAAGCATGGATTACATTAGATTAAGTGAAATAAACTAGATATAGAAAGAGAAATACCACATTCTTCCTGATATGCAGAAATTGAAAAGAAATGGCCTCATAGAAATAGCGAGATAAGAATGATGACTAGGGTAGAAAGGACTGGATGGGGTCGCAGTACAGGGATGTTGATGAACAGGAACAAAACTACAGAAAGATAAGAGAAATAATGTCTAGTGTAATAAAATAAGGTAGGGGAAGTGTAGTTAATTCAACAGTAACTCAGTGTAACTAGAATGATTTTTGAATCATCGCAGCAGAAAGTAATGACAAAGGGCTGAGATTATGGGTATACTAAGTACCCTGATTTAATCATTTCATGTTGTGTTCTTGTACTGGAAATTACATCATACCCCCACAAATTTGTAAAATTATCATATGTTAACAAAACATGCTAAAACTGGCCAGTGCAACAGTCTGAGACACTTTGTCTTAGAACTCCGAGATGAGACCCATATTCAATTCATCAGGTATTTTCTTGGGGTTCTACCAAATATTGAACACCATACGAAGGATTTACAAAGATGATAATGAATGTAAATTTCATCTTGGAGGCAAGATGAACACCAGACACATCAGAGTGTACACCAGGCTCCTGTGGGGATACTGTCAAGTGTTGTCTATCGGGATTCCCCCTTTGTATAGAAGCTATGTAGGCCAGATGGCTTCTAGGGCACCTTACTTCAGACAGCCTAGGGCAGTGATTAATTTTATTGTTCTTACTTGTAAGGCACACTCACTGAGCAATGATGTCAAATTAGAAGCTGCCTCCAGGAAAACACAGGGGGTCTTATTTTTGGTCCACAGCCTCAAGTCAGCCACTAGCTAAATACTTGCAACACCAGCTCTGAAGACTCCCTTTGGTTTGTGGGTCCTTGTTTTGACAGCCATAATATAAAGGGAAGAATAGGTAGGAAGCCCAAGGGGATGGCATGCCACAGTCTTTCTTTCCATTTGCCCTAATATAATTTCTTCCTTTCCAGCCCACAGCTAAGAATGTCCTTTATTGTCTTCTCCACTAGAGGAACGACCTTAATGAAACTGACTGAAGACAGGTAAGAAAACTTCTCGTCTCTGACACTGGAAATTCTCTGAGTAGCTGTGATTTGTGCCCTAGAGCCAACCTCAACCTGCCAATCATTTTTCATCTCTTTTAACCTAAGCATGGAACTTTGCACATGGACCCTTCTTAGTTTACTTTGTGATGACTTTTGGTCATCACACCACTCCTCGTGTGCGTGAAATTTTATAAATGACTAGGTCACATTAAGATATACCTTATGTTTGCTTAGTGACTCGTCCTGCTAATATGGAGCAAAATGTAGTAAACCAAATTCTTGGAAGACTATGTTTTTTGTATTTAAATTAATTTTATTGGTCAATGTTTCAGAGATATAATAATTGAACTGTGAGAAAGATAAGCGCTTGAAATGTTATCATATGTAATTACCGAGGAAGAGAATAGAAAGAAGGATTTCTGGAAGCAAAAGACAAAAGGACATTTGAATCAGGTGTGGGAAAATGTTGTTCACATAAAAGGGATGGTTACACCTAGCTTAGCAAAAATATTATTTTGAGTTTTACCACATTTTACTTGCAGATGAAAACTGTCAATAACAAAGATATGCTATCTATTTACAGTTAAGACGGTATATGGGGAAGTGGAGAGGACAGTTTTCCTGCATTAAGGACACTAAATACTTTTTAAAAAGTGCTATAGTCCTCACAAAAGAAGCACCACAGGGGCATGTGTAATATTAGTAGCAGACTTAGATATGGGCATGTTGGAAAAAGAAATGAAGGTAAGGCAAGTAAAGGAAGGACAGGCAGATTTAATTTTCTAACAGTCTTCTCAGAGAAATGAGGATAGGACTAACTTACAGGACAGTCAGTTCTTCTGGCTCTGATGAGCTAATCTGAATTAATCTTCATTTTTCTACAAGCCTTTGTGGCCTGTCTCCAAAAAGAGAACTTGTACCATATAGAAGATTTCAAATCTTGTTATTCCTTCATCAGTACCTAATGTGCATGTATGTTATTTGAGCTGCCTGGAGACCCCATCTTAAAAATAAAGGATTATTACTCTTCATAACAGAGGGAAAAACTGAGGTTGTATTATGTTCCGAAGGACACCAAGCAGAATCCAGACTAGATCTAGACTCGACTTTCTTTCAAGTTTACCTTGCCACTTTCTGTTAAACAGAAAGCATAAAATCCAAAAAGCCAGTGTGACTTTCCTTCAGTATAGACCAAGGACTTCGAGAGGCTCTAAAGATGTGTCTCCACCACCTGCAACACTCCCGATCCTGCTCAGTCTTTATGTGATACCGTCCTTTATGCAAATATGTCTTTTTTGCAGAGACAGGGAGCTAAACCCAGAGAAAAGCAGTAGCATATACTTGTTTCAAAGATTAAGCCATGCATGTCTAAGTACGCACACTGGTGCAGTGAGACTGTGATTGCTTCATTATGTCAGTTGTTCCTTCAGTCACTCACTTCTCTCCTCCACGGATAACTATTATAATTCTAGAGATAATACATGCCAATGGATGCTAGCCCCCCTCCACCCCATGGGAGGAATTTTTGCATTTATCATATCAAAACCAAAATTAAATCTCACTGTTCTTCACCTTCTCTTACAACCCCAAAGCTTCCTGGTGTTGCTTCATGCTGCCTTGCTTTATGTGTAAGTTTGGCCAAGAGGCCAAGTTCATGTATCCTTTGTAGCGACTTTGTGACTATTGCATGTTTGTGGGAAATTAGAGAGAGAAGAGGGGATCAGAGATTTATTCATATTATCAGAACATCTGGACTTTCAGAATCATTTTGGTTTTTTATGCTTGTTGAAATTGAAATCTAACTTTTTGTGCCTTAACTTCACTACTGCTAGTTTCCTGGGCCAAAGAATGATAGAGGTTAGAATCTCTACTTTGCTAGAAACAACATTAATATGGACCAAATGTGCATCAAACAGCAGCCAGAAATGCCTTGAGAAAAGCTGTGTGGGTTTCGTGTGGTGACTGCTTGGCCTATGCTTAGGTCAGCTGGCAAAACATAGCACACTTCACTGACTCATACCACCCATATCCACCTATGGAAGAGACATGGGAAAGCAGCCTCTGTCTAAAACACTTTCTCAGGAGACTGGCTAAAAGAATCAGGCTTTCAGATTTTCTATGCTACCACTGTTTCTGAAGTAAATGCTTACAGTGTCCTACTTGAGCACAAGAATTTTTATTTTTCTCTAGATCTCATATGATCTTCATAGTATCTCTATAAGGCAGTGACAGATCCATTATTATATATGCAATATTTGAGCAAAAATGGAGTTTAAAAAACTTGTTCAAAAACAAGACATGAATCAGCAAAGACTCATTTCAACAAGAGCAAATGATTCAGAGTAAAAAAAAATAAATAATACCAAAGATGTATTTGCATCCAATCTGAAGGATTGTTGTATACATAAGGGGAAAACTATGGGAAGACTGAAGAAATACAATGGAAAATAAATATAGTGTGTTAAGATATAATAAGTGAACAGTTAGAATAATCATATCTAACATTTGTGAATGTCTTTTATCTGGCAAATACTTCACATACCATTTCTTTTTTGCTATAGGGCACGTGCGCTCACTTGGGGATCTTGGGCACGCATGCACATGGGCCCAGCATGAGTTTAAGCCACTGGTCCTGGACTTGAACCATGGTTGACTACATGGGAGTCCAGCGACATAGCCATTACACCAGCTGTTGGTCCCATCACTTCTTTTTTATCCTCATGTAGCCATTGTTACTCCAATTTCTGATGAGAACTCTATGATTATTTGAATAATTTTATATGTGGTTATTTGAATCATTTTATATACAATGTGTTGTTTTTCTCTGACTGCTTTCAAGATTTGTTTCTTTAACTTTAATTCTCAACAATTTGATTATGATGTCTGGGCATGCTTTTCTTTGGGTTTATCCTATTTTGGCTTTGTTGAGCTTCTTGAATCTATAAACTTACATCATTACCAAATTTGGAAAGTTTGCAGTCATTTTATTTTTGTAATATTTTTTCTGCATCAATCATTTTCTCCTCTTCTTCTGGAATTCCAGTGACACAAATATTAGACATTTTGATCTTAAGCATATGTCCCTGAAGTTTTATTCATTTCTTTTTTGTCTTTTCTGTCCTCTGTGCTTCAGATTGGATTATTTTTATTGATTTATCTTCAAGGTTACTGAATCTTTCCTCTGTCATCTTCATTCTGAGCTCATCCACTTATTTTTTAGTAAAAGATCATTTGTTTTTCAATTCTAACATTTCCATTTAGTTCTTCTTCAAGTTATTTTTTTTCCTCTGCTGAAAATTTCTAACTTCCCATTTATTTCAAATGTGTTTATCTTTATTTAATAGATAATGATTTAGCTGCTTTAGTCACCTTATAATCTCAGCCTCTCAGAACTGGCCTCTTATTGCCTTTTCCCTTGAGAACCGACCACATATTCTAGGTGCTCTGTATGTGGAGTGACTTTAAACTATATCCTGCAAAATTTGAACTTTAAATTATTTAAACTCTGGATCAGGCTCAGATCCTTTGGAAAATTTTTGAGTTTTTTTTTGTTTGTTTGTTTGTTTTCTTTTGTTTACTTTAGGAAACAATCATCTTGGTTGGGTTCAGATCACGAGTCTATCTCTCCTATGGGTGGTAGTTTCAATGTCAGATCAATTTTCAAAGACTTGGCTAAACTCATCTGGATTTGACCAAAGTCCAAAGCTACAAATGGACAGCATAGGAATTAACCTAAGACTATATTTTATTTATTTATTTATTTATCTTTATGGTTTTTGCCATTTGGTGCGTGTACCTGCTAGAGAGAGAGGCAGAGAGAGAGAGGTATGAGAATGAAAGTGAGAAATCACCCCCCACCAACCCCCTGCCCCTCCAGAGGGGATGGCCATGCCACAATCCGTTCCCCTCCCTTCTCCTCCTGGGATTTTGGGCATGTGTGTACACACACCCAGTGTGATTTTCAAGCCATTGGATCCAGGATTGGATAGCCTATGGAATCGAGGATTGGATAGCCTATGGATAGGTTGGCTATGTAGGAGTCCAGTGCCCTAACCACTACTCCGTCTGCTGGCCCCAAGACTATAGTTTTATTCACAGAATTGGGAGGGGGGAATCATCTTCCCCAACACTTTTTTCTCTGGGATCACCCACAACTATGTGGCCCATTGAGGCTCTTCTTTCTAAGTCCATCCACAAGAAAAATGGAGTTTCTCTTGGAGTTTTGGCCTCCTACTGCTGCCATAAAGTTCTCCATTACAGCTGATCTTGGGGCAAATCCAGGAATAATAATTACAGAAGAAAAAAAATGGATATTCTTCCCATGTTCTCTGAACCACAAGGGCCCCTTTTCTATTGACACCAGTAACATGGGGATTTTATTGGGTTTTTAAGTGACATCTCAGACCACTGCCATGTGACTAAGATCTACCCTCAGGTTAAAGCCATGAGAGAAAAGAAGAGGGAAAAGATTTTGGAACTCACCGTTGTGTGAGTCATTTCTCCAGGTTTTAACTCTTCTCCCCAGTCCACCCGTCTTGTCACTTTTCCAACATATCATGTGCTGCTTTTTTATTTTGTTCAAAGTTTATTGTTGTAATCGGCGAGAGATACGGGCAGTAGCAAATGCACTCTGTCTCGGCTGCTGTTACTTCAGTTTTATAGATAAAAACACGAAGTTTCAAGTAATTTAGATAACTTACTGAGGTCAAATAAAAGTGAATGTCAGACCTACTATTCTGATTCTGTATTTGTAAATTGGGTCCCTTTCATGCACACTCTTCATTATATCATTTTCTTTCAAGATTTTTTTACTTCATCAGTTTAAACAATTGGCAGATTATAACAGATTTCATAAGTCACTTCATTAGCAGAATAGAGTGTGTAATGTCAATGTAAGTCTTTTAGAATAGAATCACCAGACAGCTTGAAAATCACGCCAGGCACATGTGTGTGCATGCCCAAAATCCCAGGAGGAGAATGGAGAAGGGATTGCTACC